GGGTTTGTGTTTAGGTGGTGAGAAGATGACGTTGTCCATCTCTGTGCTGCTGGCCCAGTCCGTCTTCCTGCTGCTGATCTCCCAGAGGCTCCCGGAGACGTCCATGTCCGTTCCACTCATAGTCAAGTAGGCCACGTTGTCTCTAATACGTTTAAAAGTCATCATAAACGTTTCTTCAGATCTACTGAAGGTCCTTCAGAGCGGTTCTTTGGACTTTGATTTTTTTCTCTGTTTTAGGTCTTCTTTCTTAACCTTTAGTCTTTTGTTTGTTAAGCCTTTTAACTTCCATGAATCTTGACCTTTGACCTCCGAGTCATTCAGGCTCATAAACGGTCCTAACTCAAGGGATGAGCCAGAGGTTTCTCAACATGAACCAGAGCTGATCCTAGAACCGTCTTGTTTATTTGCTGTAGATGTTTTGTTCCTGAAACAGAAGCTTCTGGAAGCAGATGCTTATTTCACCTGTTCTCAGGTATCTGATGTTCATCATGGTGCTCGTCACCGTGGTCGTGTTGAACTGTGTCATCGTCCTCAACCTTCACTTCAGGACACCGAGCACACACGTCATGACTGACTGGACCAAGAGGGTAACACACACACACACACACACACACACACACATGCACACACACACACACACACACGCACACACACACACACACATACACGCACGCACACACACACACGCACACACAAAACACATGTACACGCACACGCACACACAAAACACATGTACACGCACACACACACACGCGCACACACACACACACACACACGCACGCACACACACACACACTTAAGCCCTTTTCAGATAGACATTCTGGAATATGTGCGGACAATTCAATCCGGTTTTTAACCGGAACTGTGTTTTCAGACACACCACTTTTGTACCGGAACTTGTCCTTTCGGCTGCGTTCACACAGCAGGGAAAAGTTCCAGATGTCTGGGGGGGGGGGGGGGGGGGGGGGGGGGGGGGGGGGGGGGGGTCGGACTTACGGTATGTTAGGCATAATTCTGCGCACACGAAGACGCATCAGAGACCTGGATGAAGAAGCTCAATGGTTAAAGGAATCACTGAAGTGTTGTGAAGCGCTCCGTCGTGCGTCTAGACGGTACCGTAGGAGGCAAGCTGCTATGGTTCGCCGCATGCTACAGCAGGGAGCTATCTAGGTGCGCACAGCGTCCCCCGGTCCCCTCCTCCTCCCCCTCCCCCTTCCCCTTGTCCGGAACTTTACCTCACCAGTCTGAAGCAGCCACCCTGTCCGTAACAATTCCCGACCTGTTACTAGGGGCTTCGTCCGGATAAATTCCGGAACACATTATCCGGATGTTTGTATTCAGACACAAAGGTCTTACGGACAGAGTCCGGAACATTTCCGTTTTTCATGGCCTGTCTGAAGGGGGCTCAAGTCATCTTTCAGGAATGACTTGTTACCCATGGAAAGGGTATAACAAGTCATTCCTGAAAGAGATTTCTCTGAGAACCCTCTGCCGGTTCCAAAGAAGCCTCTTCAGGTCCATGAACGTTGCCAGAGCCTTGGTCCCACTTGCAGTAAAGTCTTGGAGGATGGAGACTGAGGCGCTGTCAAACCAAACAGCTTCAAGTAGTAAAGTCTGTAACCTGTGCCCTACTGCCCAGGTTCCTTTGACCTGGTGTGTGATGTGAATGATCCACCTGTAGCTCTGTTCCAGGCTGTAGCATCTCTGTTAACATCCGAAAGACTGCTGTGGTTGAGCTATATCCTCGCATTTCGCCTTCATCTCCATTAACTCTGTCTTCAACTCACCCACTGTACTCGGCAGGGTGACAACCTCACCCGACCACCCTCGATATCGTCAACACTCACTATGACCTGGTCTAACTCGGAGCAAAGCACTGTGATGTTCACAGCTCATAACTCCTCCTTGAGGAAGTCAAATTCTTTGGCCAGGAGCATCTTCAGCGCTGACTTGATCCCCGCTGCCGAGTCAGATTTCAGTTATTGTCTAGTCGGTTAGTAACATCTGATAGGTACTCAAGTTGTGCAGTATATAAAACTCTGAATCCTTGAAGGAGGAGTACAGCTGAAGGTCTTCTGCAAATAGGTGGTAGGAGACACTATAAGTTATTTATCTGTGCTCATACAGCAAAACCAGGAGTGGACCCAAAACAGGGCCTTGGGGTACCCCACAGCAGAGATTTGATTTAAACAGACACTGTAACTTCTGTTAGAAAGAGTTCCACTCAGACAGTTCCAGAGGTCCCCACCAAGTCACCAAGTCTGTCAGTTAAGATGATCAACGGTGTCCAAAGCTGCACAAAGATCCCACACTTCCCAGCTGTCTGCAGCCATCACGATGTCACTATTATTCATAGTGATCGTTGAAATACCAGCGGCCATTTAGGAGGCGGACAGGCAGATTGGTTCGGCGTCTGCAGTGATGCGGACGCTGAGCCGATCTGTCGTGGGGAAGAGGGAGCTGAGCCAGAAAGCCAGGCTCTCGATTTACCGGTCGATCTACGTCCCAATCCTCACCTATGGTCATGAGCTTTGGGTAATGACCGAAAGAACGAGATCGCGGATACAAGCGGCCGAAATGAGTTTCCTCCGTAGGGTGGCCGGGCTCAGCCTTAGAGATAGGGTGAGGAGCTCGGACATTCGGGAGGGACTCGGAGTAGAACCGCTGCTCCTCCGGATCGAAAGGAGTCAGTTGAGGTGGTTTGGGCATCTGGTCAGGACGCCTCCTGGACGCCTCCCTGGGGAGGTGTTTCGGGCATGTCCTGCCGGCAGGAGGCCCCCGGGTCGACCCAGGACACGTTGGAGAGGTTACATCTCCAATCTGGTCCGGGAACGCCTTGGGGTCCTGCCGGAGGAGCTGGTGGACAAGGCCGGGGAGAGGACGGCCTGGAGCTCCCTAGTTGGGATGCTGCCCCCGCGACCCGGACCCGGATAAGTGGAGGAAGACGACGACGACGACATTTAGGAGGCGATCTACAACAACTTTTACGGAAACTCTTTAACTCTGACGTTTTTCTGTCCAGTTCTTCCTGGAACGGTTACCTCGGATCCTACGAATGTCCCATCCTGCTGAAGATGAGCCGATGATGGATGGCGCGTTGCCACGGCGATCCAGTTCAGTGGGTTACATTGCCACGGCCGAGGAGTACTACAGCATCAAGTCCCGCAGCGAGCTGATGTTTGAGAAGCAGTCAGAAAGACACGGATTTAATAAACGGACCGCTCACGCCGCAGGTACGACCCGGCGTGTTTCCAACGCTTCCATTCAGCCTGCTGGATTTAGCTAAAGTGGCTCTTAACAGGATTAAGGGCTGAGTTTGATCAGGTGTGTGTGTGTGCGTGCGTGCGTGTGTGTGTGTGTGAGAAGTGGTGAAACCACAGGAAGAAGATGGAGAGACAGAGCAGCTGTATGGAGAGATCAAACCAGCTGTAGATGGAGCGAACTACATCATCAAACACATGAGGAACAAGAACGACTACAACGAGGTGAGACAGGATGGGAGACGGGAGACAGGATGGGAGACGGGAGACAGGATGGGAGACAGGAGACAGGATGGGAGACAGGATGGGAGACGGGAGACAGAATGGGAGACGGGAGACAGAATGGGAGACGGGAGACAGGATGGGAGACGGGAGACAGAATGGGAGACGGGAGACAAGATGGGAGACAGGAGACAGGATGGGAGACGGGAGACAGGATAGGAGACAGGAGACAGGATGGGAGACGGGAGACAGGATGGGAGACGGGAGACCTCTGGGTCTAAAACCCCAATAATGGATACGATTCCACCTTCTGCCTCACAGGAGAAAGACAACTGGAGCGGCATCGCTCGGACGGTGGACAGACTCTGCTTCTTCCTCATCACTCCGGTGATGACCTTAGGCACCATCGTCATCTTCCTCATGGGAATCTGTAACCACCCCCCCCACCTGCCCTTCAAAGGAGACCCACACGACTACTCGGACGAGAACGCGCGGCTGCTGTAACAGTCACACTCAGCAGCGGCTCTTCAGGATCATTTCTGCTGCTTCTGATCTCAGTTCTGTGTTTTCTCAGGCATGCGGGCACAAGTTACAACATCAGCTTCAAGTGAAAATCTACAAATGAAAACAGGACTTTTCTGTTTCGTCTCCCACCCCAGAAGCTTCCTTGGTCCTAAAGCTTGGGTTGGGAGTAGGAGGAGGTTATAAGGTCACAGGTGAGGCCGTTGTTGTTACTGAAGGACCATCATGATCACTCGAGTCTGGTTTAGAACTGAAGAAGCTTCTTGGATGAGAGGAGAAACAAGAAACGTTGTTTTCAGTGAAACTTTCTAGATTGTCGCCTGAAGCTGATGTCATGCCCTGGCCGACTCACACCCCACACAAACCTAAAGTCATGAGTCATAACTTCATCTGTGTGCTGCTGCTTTACTCTTCAACGCTTAGACGGGGCTGTTGGTCTCCTCATTTCTACAGTGTCTTATAGAAAACCCATGCGTCATCATTATTATGAACATTTGAATGCTTTTGGGTCAGATTTTTTACTCGCTGGGTTAAAGAACACTGATTTAGTTACTTATGCCTCATATTGTTTCTACGAGGAAATAAACTGAACAAGTTGTTTCACAAATTGACTTTATTTAGTTGAAAATGTAAGAAGACACCAGAATGACTTCATATTAATGCTAGAATTAACGCTGTGACGTAAACAGCTGTAAAGGTGTTTTCGGACTCCAGGAATCCACGTTTGACCTCTGAGATCCAGGGGCGCCTCCAGAAAATTTTGATGGGGTGGCCAGATGGGGCCAAAGAAACTTTTGGGGTGGCACACCAAATTGGTCCTTGTGGTAACGCTGGGAGACTGAAGCCTGTGGCGATGTGCTGCCTTATTTTATATTTATTAAAATAACAGTATGTATCCAAACATTTAACTTAAACTTTACAAACACAAACATTTTAGAAAATAACATGTCAGTTATTTAAAATGTTACCCCTCATTTACTTTAAAAATGTTTATTTTTTAGGTTTGTTCACCTGTTGCTGTGTTAAAAAAACTATGGTGATAAAAACTTTTTTTAAATGGTGAGCAGCAGAAACGTGTGTTGTTTTAAGTTCTGATTATTTCTTTACTCGTTAATTGTAATTCTATTTTGTTTTACAATTATGTCTTTAATAAACAAGACCAAAATATGGTCTGACTGAACATTAATATGATTTGTTAACACTGGCCACCCCTGGGGGGGGCAATTTTCTAGGGATTGCCACCCCTGGGGGGCGCCCTTGCTGAGATCAGCCACTAGCTGTAAACCAGGAGGGACGTCAGGTTTTAGGCTTGTGAGTGATTCCGAGTGGCCCTGATGTTTCGTTGCACTTTAGGGAAAAACATTTAAAAAAGGTTCCTTTTCTTTCAGAACATTTAATTTAGTCATTTATTAGGAAACGGTCACCGAGCTGCTCTTGTTTCTTTGATTTTGTTGTTTTTTCTCTTAACAGGCCTTTTTTCAGACTTGCTCCTCAAGCATCAAGTTTTACTAAATAAAATATTTTTTTCACCTTCCTGTTTTTAGTCAAAGTTGCATCTAGAACTATTTTATACTTTCTTTGTCGGAAATCTTTTATCTTTAACTCTCAGGTTCTAGAAAACACTGAAAAGGGTTTAAAGGTTAAAATGAGTTAGAAATTATGCATCAGATCCAGAGTCTTCCTCAGAGGAAGATCCAGGTGGGCTCAGTTACCATGGAACTCCAACATGGCTGACATGGCCCTACAGAATCTGGATGGACTCAGCTCATCTTATCTCCAGGTCAAAGGTCATCACTCCCACCATGGTTTCACCGAAAACCTGTAGAGAGAAGAAGAGAGGAGGTGACTTCCTGTTTCCAGACATCCTCCGTCAGCAGCTTCTTCATGGTAACGTGTTTGAGTGAAGCTCACACACCTGCAGAGACTTTTAGCATCGGGTGAGTTTCCTCTGCAAGTGTGACTCCTCTGCAGGTGTGACTCCTCTGCAGGTATGTTTCCTCTGCAGGTGTGACTCCTCTGCAGGCGTGACAACTCAGCAGGTGTGACTCCTCTGCAGGTGTGTTTCCTCTGCAGGTGTGTTTTCTCTGCAGGTGTGACTCCTCTGCAGGTGTGTTTTCTCTGCAGGTGAGACTCCTCTGCAGGTGTGTTTCCTCTGCAGGTGTGACTCCTCTGTAGGTGTGACTCCTCTGCAGGTATGTTTCCTCTGCAGGTGTGACTCCTCTGCAGGTGTGTTTCCTCTGCGGGTGTGACTCCTCTGCAGGTGTGTTTCCTCTGCAGGTGTGTTTCCTCTGCAGGTGTGTTTCCTCTGCAGGTGTGTTTCCTCTGCAGGTGTGACTCCTCTGCAGGTGTGACTCCTCTGCAGGTGTGTTTCCTCTGCAGGTGTGTTTCCTCTGCAGGTGTGACTCCTCTGCAGGTGTGACTCCTCTGCAGGTGTGTTTCCTCTGCAGGTATGTTTCCTCTGCAGGTGTGACTCCTCTGCAGGTGTGACTCCTCTGCAGGTGTGTTTCCTCTGCAGGTGTGACTCCTCTGCAGGTGTGACTCCTCTGCAGGTGTGTTTCCTCTGCGGGTGTGACTCCTCTGCAGGTGTAACTCCTCTGCAGGTGTGTTTCCTCTGCAGGTGTGACTCCTCTGCAGGTGTGTTTCCTCTGCAGGTGTGACTCCTCTGCAGGTGTGTTTCCTCTGCAGGTGTGACTCCTCTGCAGGTGTGTTTCCTCTGCAGGTGTGACTCCTCTGCAGGTATGTTTCCTCTGCAGGTGTGACTCCAGTCCACCGTGGAAACCAACAGCTGAGAGTCCTGAGGGCTTCATTACTGCACAAACACTGTAGTGATGATCTACTGCTGCTACATGTCAGCTGCTGCTGATTGAGATTCCATTCTTGAGTCTGAACCCATAGTCAGCCTTGTTGATTATTTAGCTGAGGGGGTTCAGACTTAACTCTCCCAGCAGACCCTCACAAAACGTTTGGGCCTGCCAGGTCTGACCGGCATCCTGCCCAAGCCCCCACAATGCAGCTCAAAAATTGAGGCCAACCCGGATGTATTCATGAGTAAGTACTCATGAGGAGCCTCCTGGATTCTTCTGGAGGTTTTAGAGGAACTGGATGAACAACGACTCTCTCTCGAACAGTTTCCACTAATCAGTGCTGCTTTCATCCTGGCTGGTCTTCATCATTAGGCCATCTTCATTTTCTTCATCACCTTCTTTAACAGCTGAATCTGGAGCTAAAAACAAAAAGTGGAATTTTTTAACCAGAATCTGTTTCCATCAAGGCCCCACAATGCAGATGAAAAATTGAGGCCAACGTGGAAGTGACAAAAATTGCAGTTCCACCCTCATCCACTAGGGGCTGGTGTCAGAAGCGAGCAAATCCTCATTGACTCCCATGTTAAAAATACCAATTTCACAACAGAAATAAGCATGTTTACAGCCTGGTACCAAAACATGTTTTTGGTTTAAATGATCTAGTTTACACTCATGACAACTCTGAGGGGGGTGAATGTTTTTCTCACTCTTCTGTTTAAGTGTATTAAAAGCCTAAAATTCTGTATAATTAATGAGCATCAGACCCACGTGACCACAGAGCTAGCTCCGTGGAAAGGCCTCAGTAGAGCCTCGGTCTGGCTTGGAAACTCTCGTCTCTCGTCTCGTCTTCCTCCGCTTATCCGGGTCCGGGTCGCGGGGGCAGCATCCCAACTAGGGAGCTCCAGGCCGTCCTCTCCCCGGCCTTGTCCACCAGCTCCTCCGGCAGGACCCCAAGGCGTTCCCGGACCAGATTGGAGATGTAACCTCTCCAACGTGTCCTGGGTCGACCCGGGGGCCTTCTGCCGGCAGGACATGCCCGAAACACCTCCCCGGGGAGGCGTCCAGGAGGCATCCTGACCAGATGCCCAAACCACCTCAACTGGCTCCTTTCGATCCGGAGGAGCAGCGGTTCTACTCCGAGTCCCTCCCGAATGTCCGAGCTCCTCACCCTATCTCTAAGGCTGAGCCCGGCCACCCTACGGAGGAAACTCATTTCGGCCGCTTGTATCCGCGATCTCGTTCTTTCGGTCATTACCCAAAGCTCAAGACCATAGGTGAGGATTGGGACGTAGATCGACCGGTAAATCGAGAGCCTGGCTTTCTGGCTCAGCTCCCTCTTCCCCACGACAGATCGGCTCAGCGTCCGTATCACTGCAGACGCCGAACCAATCCGCCTGTCGATCTCCCGATCCCTCCTACCCTCACTCGTGAACAAGACCCCGAGATACTTAAACTCCTCCACTTGAGGTAGGACCTCTCCCCCGACCCGGAGATGGCAAGCCACCCTTTTCCGGTCGAGAACCATGGTCTCAGATTTGGAGGTGCTGATCCTCATCCCAGCCGCTTCACATTCGGCCGCGAACCTACCCAGCAAGAGCTGAAGGTCAGAGCTGGATGAAGCTAGGAGGACCACATCATCCGCAAAAAGCAGAGACGAGATTCTCCTGCCACCAAACTCGACACACTCCACACCACGGCTGCGTCTAGAAATTCTGTCCATAAAAGTGATGAACAGAACCGGTGACAAAGGGCAGCCTTGGCGGAGTCCAACCCTCACTGGGAACAGGTCCGACTTACTACCGGCTATGCGGACCAAACTCACGCTCCTCTGGTAAAGGGACTGAATGGCCCTTAACAGAAAGCCACCCACCCCATACTCCTGGAGCGTCCCCCACAGGGTGCCCCTGGGGACACGGTCATAAGCCTTCTCCAAATCCACAAAGCACATGTGGATTGGTTGGGCAAACTCCCATGCCCCCTCCATCACCCTTGCAAGGGTATAGAGCTGGTTCACAGTTCCACGGCCAGGACGAAAACCACATTGCTCCTCCTCTATCTGAGATTCAACTATCGATCGGACCCTCCTCTCCAGTACCTTGGAGTAGATCTTTCCAGGGAGGCTGAGGAGTGTGATCCCCCTATAGTTGGAACACACCCTCAGGTCACCCTTCTTAAAGATGGGGACCACCACCCCGGTCTGCCACTCCCTAGGAACTGCCCCCGATGACCACGCAATGTTGTAGAGACGTGTCAACCATGACAGCCCTACAACATCCATAGCCTTGAGATACCCAGGACGAACCTCATCCGCCCCCGGGGCTCCGCCGCTGTGTAGTTGTTTGACTACCTCAGCAACTTCTGCCCCCGAGATCGGACAGTCCATCCCCAGGTCTCCCGGCTCTGGTTCCTCCTCGGAATGCGCATTGGTGGGATTGAGGAGCTCCTCAAAGTATTCCTTCCACCGTCCGACTATAGCCTCAGTTGACGTCAGCAGCTCCCCATCCCCACTGTAAACAGTGTGAGCGAGTTGCTGCCTTCCTCTCCTGAGGCGCCGGACAGTTTGCCAGAACCTCTTTGGAGCCGATCGATAGTCTTTCTCCATGGCCTCACCAAACTCCTCCCACGCCCGAGATTTTGCCTCGGCAACTGCCACTGCTGCACCCCGCTTGGCTATCCGGTACCTGTCTGCTGCCTCCGGAGACCCACTGACCAGCCACGCCCTGTAGGCCTCCTTCTTCAGCTTGACGGCTCCCCGAACCTCTGGTGTCCACCAGCGGGTACGGGGGTTGCCACCACGACTGGCACCGGCCACCTTACGACCACAGCTAGCAACAGCCGCCTCGACAATCGCAGAGTGGAACAAGGCCCACTCGGACTCAATGTCCCCCACTGCTCTCGGGACGTGGTCAAAGCTCTGCCGGAGGTGGGAGTTGAAGACCATCTTGACAGGTTCTTCTGCCAGGCGTTCCCAGCAGACCCTCACTATGCGTTTGGGTCTGCCAGGTCTACGCGGCATGTTCCCCTTGCCATCTGATCCAACTCACCACCAGGTGGTGATCAGTTGACAGCTCCGCCCCTCTCTTCACTTGGGTGTCCAAAACATACGGCCGCAGGTCAGATGATACGACTACAAAATCTATCATCGACCTGTGACCTAGGCTGCCCTGGTACCAAGTGTACCGGTGGGCATCCTTATGTTCGAACATGGTGTTCGTTATGGCCAAACTGCGGCTTGCACAGAAGTCCAATAACGAAACACCACTCGAGTTCAGACCAGGCGGGCCGTTCCTCCCAATCACACCCCTCCAGGTCAAGCTGTCATTGCCCACGTGAGCATTGAAGTCCCCCAGCAGGACAATGGAGTCCCCTGATGGAGCACTATCTAGCACTCGTCCCAGGGACTCCAAAAAGGGTGGGTACTCTGAACTGATATTTGGCCCATAAGCACAAACAACAGTCAGGGCTTGGAAACTGTTCCGGGATTTTGAGTCTCTGTGTGTGTGTATTCTTGTTTGGATATTATTTGTGCAATTGTTGGACAAAATGACTTGCAGTGGCATTAATTGCACTAATAGAGCGTCCAAGGAGTCTCCACTTCATTTTTTTCGGTAAGTAAAATTATATTTATGTATTTTAGGTCACTGCCGAGCCGAGCTTAGATTTTAACATGTACTGTTTAACAATGAAATTTAAATGTAATAGGGTAAAACCCAGTGCATTTAACATGAT